TCAGACGTGTGCTCTTCCGATCTATTTGTTGATAAAAAATACAAAATGAAAATACATATAAATGCGTTAATTGTTAATACCTCTATTAAACAAACCAAAAAGAACGAACACGGAAAATTACTCGCGCGAATTTAAAGCTGCGCGAATGAGTCTCAACAAGGTGCGCGAAATTAAATCGCGCGAATTTAAAGCTGAGCGAAAATGAGTACGACGCGAATTTTAATACAAGTAAGGTAGTTTACTAGGAATGAGGGTCTTCCCGAAACGCGCACATCAATGCGGCTCATTATTCAAGACATTCTCAACGCGAGGTTCGATAAAAAGCTGTTGAAATATATTGCGATTTTTACTGTGAAGATCTCATTTTCTCAAAGGTATGTTTTGATAACTCTTTTGTTTAGTAATTTAATAAAAACACAGATTTCGCTACCCTGTTTCTCGTACTGCAACAGAGGAAAGATAAAAGAAAGCTAGCAGACGTAAACGTTAATCAAGACCACAATTACTTGTCGCAATCGGTCTCGAAATTAGCAGTCAAGAATTCTTCGCTGAAACATGGGTTACATGGCCAAAAATTACGTTTCTTTCAAAATATGTATTTTTGATGGCAAACAGGGATTGATGGAATATTACTTGAAGTTTGCAGTACATGCGTTTGTTGTCCAGGACAAATTATAAATATTTGGTTTTTGAGTGATACTGTGCTCCAACTAATGTGCGTCAAATTTCAGTATGCGAGGCCGTATTTTGCTAAAATTGCTTGTTTTTCACCTTAATTTTCTCATATACATAGGTTGTGCCAATGAAATGTGATTAGGTCGATGCGCTTTTCTTTATAGTTTTCGATAATAGAATGACGTAAACTCGCCTAAAAAAAATGAAGAAAATACTGAATTTTGACAAATTTCATGTGCGAATGTGATTTGTACGAAAAAGGTGACTTAGAAAATGAGCCGATCAGAATAAACATTTTGCTATGTATTTTGCAATAATAGTTTTAAAATATTATTTTTAGGTTTTCAAAGTTTTAAAAAACAGATAAACAAACATAGCAATCGTTCAAAATTGTCTTATATAAACACGAATTTCAATCGTTCAAAATTGTCTTATATAAACACGAATTTTGTCATGTTACAGGTTGTGGCCAACGGTAACGAAATATCGCTGTTTGCCATTAAATTTCAAAGCATTTTTAAGTTAGCCCGCGTGCAGGCCCCAAGGGAAGAATAGTGGGCCTGCAAGCAAGGCCCGGTATTTTCTACTTTCCGCGTTCGCCCACGAACGCGGCATTCTGATTGGCTGTTTGCTGTTGGATTCTATAATTAGATCAGTGATTCATCACAAAGGCTCTCGATAAGCTTAAAATTCGAAAATTGGTCACTTTTTTCGATTAAAAATGGAACCGAAGAACAGACTGTTTATTGTTTACTTGAAGGAAGAGATGTTTTTGCCGTTATGCCAATGGGGATTATATAATAACTACAGTGAAACACGCAATTTGATTGGTCAATAGCCGTGCAGGATCAGGCTATCCTGCACGAGGAATTAAAATGCCTTCGCGGGATTCACAAAATGTCATTGTTTCACTGTAGTTATTTTATAAAACAATTACCAAATGGTTTTCCAAGCAGGATAGCGTGATCCATGCACTTGGGATGTTGCTCGACTTTCGGAAAGCGTAAAAATACACTCGCCTGCGGCTCGTGTATTTTAACGCTCTCCGAAAGTCTCGCGACATCCCTCGTGCATGGATCACGCAATCCTGCATGGAAAACCATTCGGTATTCCTTTATTGCTTGTCGTGAAGTGTTGCAATAGCAACATTACGACTGCCGGCGTAAACTATAGTAACCTTTATTCGAGTTTCATTAATTTCAAACAAACTTAATACGTTATATGTTCTTGGTTGATGTTGACTTGCACTGAAGAAAACAACGTTTTTCGTGGTGAAGATTTAGAGGCAGTTGCATGTAAGCCTATTCGAAACACTTTGCGATTTGCAAGGTCTTGCAAGGCTTCGCTGAGAGAGCGAAACAGAAGACGGTAATTGCCGTTTGAAACGAAACGATCTGGACTCTGAACCCTCTCTTCTTTTGTAGAGTTCTTTACCAAATGAAATAACTGAAATCAATTTCATACTTTCCGCCGCCAACAAGAATTGCACATGCACACGATCTGATAAGTGAGACAATTTATTTATATAAACAATGGCGACAGCGAAGCACACATTAATGCTAATGTGGTCGGACGACTTCCCTCACGATTTGAAATTTGAGACTGGTTTACTGTTGAAATTCGTCCTAATTTGCCAGTTCCGATTTTAGTTGAAAATGAGTACTTTCAAATTTGGCAATTACTGACTGCGTTGCTTGCTTTTTTGGACTGAAAAACACAGCCATTTACACATTGTTTCTATTTTGAATATTAAAGCAGAGAAAACCCGAAAAGCCTGATCGCAGGTTAAGAAAACCCCGCAACATTTTAATGCGAGTTTGTTTGTTACTATTTGGTTCTTTTTTGACAATTGACGCGCGAATGGGGCGTGTTATGAAAAGGGGCGTTTTACAAAATACCGGGCCTTGCTTGCAGGCCCACTATTCTTCCCTTGGGCCTGCACGCGGGCTATTTTCAATTCAGTATTAAATTTCTTGGCTTTGTAAAAAACGAAGAAGTACCATTAGTATTTTTGGTTTGAATTTCACATTTTATTGAAGCTATCATACGACATTTTAAAGGAAATTTTTTGCTCTGTTTTGTTTTGCACTGAAATAATCGATATTATAATAGTTTAATTAATTACATTGTAAAATATGTGACAATAGAGGAAATCAAAGTATTACTGCAACATTCTTGTCAGTGAATCCAGTTTTTGTGGTGATTTGTGGCCCTAAATAGCAGCTGCAAAAATGACTTTCGAAGGCTTCGTTCATGTTGTTTATGTTTTTTAAATCAACCAAGTGAAAAATACGCATATCTTCTTCCGCTGAAAAACCGAGCAGTTTTCGCGCATGCTCAGACAATTTTCCCACCTGTTACGTTGAGCACAATCTAACGATTCATACAATTGTGAACTTATATATACGAGCCCAGTACAGTGTTTTTTTTTATTCTTCAAATAGTCTTATTGCTTATAGAGTTATTGCTGTTTTATTTCTTCAAACCTGAATAAATACAGTGTGAGGAGAGTGTATAAATATTTGGTCCTATAAACTATCATCTTCTTGGATTATAGTACCCTTCACTAGAATGCCCTGCCATTCCTCTATCGAACTCAAGATTAGAACCAGCGTAATGATTTTGGTCCTCCATGGAGCTCGTCACATGATCACGATGATTAGAATTCCTCCTGGCTTGTTGACTTGCAAAACTACTGCTGGGCAATCCATCGGTAAACCGTTTTACGGAACTACAACAGAAGAATGGAAAAAAGAAAACAAAGATCAAAGGGAGATACAGAATCATAATCGCCCTTTCCATGTTTTAATTAAAATCAAACCAGGTGTCACAAATCTTTAGCCATTATGAACCAAACGCTAGGGGAAGCTGTGTAGCTCTGCGGGGAGTGAAAGGATTATTCGGAAAAGAACCAATATGGCTGACATATTTTCATGTTAAAGTTCATATTTTGTATTATTATTAAAACTTTATAAAAAGTATGCGACTTCATAATTGTCCTGCGATGTAACTAAGACCGGTTTCTTACTTAGATTAAAATTTAGTCTAAAGCGCAAGTCGTCCATTAGTTTCCAAGACACTGTATTTTGGCGTATTTAATTTTTGCATGATTTCGACACATAAAGGGCGGCCTAATATATGATGCGGCCATATGCAAAAAGAAGAATAAAGGGCATACCTGGGTCTGCTTCGTCGAACTCGAGCTTTTTCGAGCTCTTGGTGGAGCTTTTTTCGGTCTTCAAGCAACTGTCTTTCTCTATTTAGTAAAGTCTCGACCTGGAGAAAATAAGAAGTAAATGTTGTGGTTCTCCTTTAGGAGATGGGTTTTTGGCAGATGGAATTTCGAACGAAAATTGATATAATGGGAATGTATTTGGAATCAATTTACGTACCTGTTTACTGGCTGCCTCCGCCCTTGTTTCCGCATCTGCAGCAATTGAATGTGCCTTCTCTAGTAGAGCTTTTGTAGATAAAAGAGTATCTTCCATCTGTGATAATGGAATACAAATATCAAGAACAAAGATCTTTTTGTATAAAAAATAAGAGTATGCACTTTGTGCATAAAGGAAAAACATCAGAGAAAATACGCGATATCTGTCAGATAATGGTGTTAACGTACAGCTCTTGAGGATGATGCATGGTTAAAATAAATACAGCTGTTATATTGATCTCGCTCACAAGAAGCAGCTCGTATCGTGCCTGTAGACGTTTTTCCTTGAGAAAGTAGCCATCTTCGCATGAAGCGTAGTCCTAAGGCCTATACAGTATATGGATAGCCTCTAACTCAAGGTTGAGATACCTACAACCATGGCCAATTGTTGTGTATACACATCTTCTAATTTAAAACCTCCCTTCCCAATCATGGACAAAAGTGTTAATAAAATCGATCGACATTTTTGGAAAATACAATCAAATAACTTCATACAGGTCCCCCCTCTCCCCCACCCAATGTTGCCATAATTTTCCTCTCATTTTAAACGTAGTTCAACAACATTGTGTTGGGGGAAGGGGGGGGGGGGATGTTTTAGACAAAATACAGGAATCAAACTACAATTTAAACTCTCACAGAGGCAAATTAAAATTTTATTAACAAGTTATGTCCACGATTGTATGTTGCATTTTTTATTACTATATATTTGAACTGGAATTATATTATTTTATTTGAATTGAATTTGCAGTTATAGCCCATTCTGCAGTCATGAACCGTATAAAGAGGTTTTTCCCGGATGTTGTTAACTATACCTGTTTACTTTTTCGTTTGGTTTCCACAAGCTCGCGACTCGTCAAATCATTTCTCTTGGTTTGTTTAGATATTTCATTCCTTGGAAAAACAATGTTACGAGGGGTTCGGTTTTATATATGTATACCCAAAGTCGTAACATACACATGCAAGACAACAGAGAAAAAGAAAATGTCAGGGGGTGTTATTTATTTATTTATTTATTTGTTCATACAGTTGATATATGTTATATATCTAAATGCTAGGACTATAATCAAGCGAATTTTCTCATAGCGTTGACTACAATTGGAATAGTTTGAATGTACACTTTACGAGTTCAATGAGAAGAAACCGTTTAATTATATTTGGAAATTAAAAATTACATTAATCCAATCAATACCAACCTACAAGAAACTTATTTACTTATATTTGGTATAACGCATGGCATGCAAGCGAACCTGGTTTGGTGACTTTGTCTCGTACCTTAATGACGCAACAGTTTCCTCGAATTTCTTAGACAATACTTGTGATTCTTCTTTCCACCTTTCAAGACAGAAAGCAATTAAAATTGATAGGAATTAATCTGTACCTATATGCAACATAATCGTCTCAATTTACTGAAGTGTACAAATCCTATTTATATATATTTAAATATTTTTTTGAACATCCTGAAATATCTTGAGTGCTTTGAATCCTTAACTACACCTAAAACATTATTTTTGAAAATTTCGTTATTTGCATCCTCCTTTTACCATGCATTTATGGACGCGATTCAATATAATTTCATCTGGTGTGCATGTTGAACAAAAGATCCCATTTGTACATGCAGTTACAGTAGCTTACACAGCTTTATTTATTCCTTTCTTTCGAGGGGTATCTGTATGGAGGTGATCTAAACGTGGAATTTTGACATCAATTTGACATCAAAATTCTTTTCAACAAGAGTTTTCGGGCATTTTTAACCATTTTTATTATTCTTCCGCAAATTTTTAAAGGCAAGAGAAGGAAAGCGTCGTATAAACTGAAACCGCACGAGAGAGTCACTATAACTTCTGCGAATGAGAGAGTCACTAACTTGAAACCCATCCGTTGCTGAGCGGTAAGCATTTCACGTAACTCGTTCACTGAATGAGCATTCATCCCTTCCACATTTTGCAATTTTTCTTCAAAATGCCTTTCTTTGACTTTATGTCGTTGCTCAAGTGAGGCGACCTAAGAAAATATAAATCAGCAGGGCTTGAAAGATTATCTCTTCGAAAAAGGATGTTTCAAAGTTCAACTAATGAAGCGGATTATCCAAAAACTAACAACTTTTGAAATTCTTCTTCAAATTTAAGCGTTCAGACAACTTTACCAACCGAAACTTCACAGTTTTTGCAACATCTGAAAAGCTTAATACGTAAAAAAATTCTGAAAATAACCGTACCTCTGTGACAGACTTCTGCTTTAATTGTTCTTGAACTGTTTGAGAGAGCAGCAATTCCCGCTTTAAATTGTCGATTTCATCTATATTTGTACACAATTGGAGACACACCTTTGAAGATAATATATACGTGTACTACTTTGCATCAAATTTTAGCAGAGACTATAGTTATTTATACATATAAGCAGTCACATGTAGAGAACATCCGTACTAAAGGTTCACTATATAAACTACTTCTTACGACACCTTGGACGGTGCACGCGCTCAAAATATTCATGTCTGTCCTTCATATTTTGTTCTCTTGTTTATTGCGGCGAGATTGGATTTTATTGATTACCATTGCAATTTGAGATCTATAAACTTAACATGTGATCATACGTTATATCATGCACGTTCGGTAAGCTATACTATACAAATAGAACATGCACCAAACAAAACAACATGCAGTTTTGTTCACCCCACACAATGCACTTTTAGAAGCATAGAAATTAAATTTACGACAATGATATACAAGATAACGAAAAGCAAAGAGTAATACAAGTTAAAGAAGAAAAGTTAAACAATAAAAGTTAAAGGCACAGTTTAGCGTTTTGAATGATGGTTTTTAAGGCGCATTACAATCCTTTTAATTGAAAAAACGTACTAGGAAAATCAATTAAGCATAATTCAAAATCAGTGAACTCAATGTTTTTAACATCAAAAATGTTAAAAGCATTGAGATCACTGATCTTGAATTATGCTTAATTGATTTTCCTAGTTTTTTCAATTAAAAGGGTTGTAATGCGCCTTAAAAATAAAATCAATCATTCAAAAGGCTGAACTGTGCCTTTAGAAGACGAGCGATAAAATGACAGCTGTACTGTATAGAATGAACAATGTTTGTTACCTATAAGCATCAATCTGTTTGTTGCAATATCTTCACTTTCCGATATCAACTGCTTGACTCGTTTCTTAAGTTCTTCGTTCTGAAGCAGTAGCTGCGTCTTTTGTCGATCGTGCCTTTAAATGAAACAGAACAATGGAATCACTCAGTTGAATGAGCACCAAATGTTAAAAATCAGAAGTAATATTTCAAATCCGACTACGAGGACTGGACTAGATTTCACGTCCGCGCAATTTGATCACGTCCGAGGTGAAGACGAGGTATGGATCAAAATGCGAGGACTTGAAATCTAGTCCAGTCCGAATGGGAGGATTTGACCAAAGACTGAATTAATTTTGATCCAGTCCAAAGACAGGATCAATATACTTCATCAGGGTTGTTTACCATTTACATGGAAATTCCGGTGATTCCATACAGAAAGTAAATGGAACAAGCATATTTCGACGGCCCAACCGGAACTTTTCCGGAATGAACGGCTTGTTACTAGCTGGGGCACCTGTGCCCAGGCGAGTATAGGTTTCGGCAGCATTCTTGGATCGGTAATCTCCAAGCGTCGATAGCCACAAAATAGACTATTAATGAGCTGCCTAATTTTCACCCAAATTATCCTGCCAATTTTACCCAAATTATCCAGTGTGAGAGCATACTTTAATTTAAGTTGCAAAAAATCTGGTCACATCTCGATCCCTGGCGTATACCTGGGATTGTATACTCCCAGGCCTGTTGGCAGACTAATATGTGCGCTAGCCTCAATCATCTGTGACTGGGGCATTTCGTTCAGTCAAACGCAATTCCCTGGCTACAATTTTGTTTTGGTCACATAGTGAAGAATATTCCCAGTAGGTAGCGCACAGGTATGGCCGCATATTCGTGGCGTTCCTCGGGAGCTTTTATATAACATTAGATTTTAGTTGCATGCAGGTCGGCCGTACGAGGCATGTTGACTGGAAAAAACCTCATAAACAGAAAAATACTCTCCTTTTGAGACTAAACGAATGGAAACATGTTTCAGAAAGCCCAGTCTCCGAAGATGCATGCAAGTTCGAATCCGGTATCTAGTACAAAGCCATGCCAATGCTTTGACTTTACTGTCTGAGAAGGACCGAGCTTTTCGTTAGCCTTAAGGTAAAGCTGGAGAGGTCTGAGAAAATGCATCGTGTTTCTTTTTCAAAGTTTAGAAAGGAATGAACATACTTCTTCTCCATTTTATGCATAAGCGATGTAAGTGACTCTCTGGCTTGCAAGGCTTCTTCCTTAGTTTTCTCGGCAATGATGATTTTCTTTTGTAATTGTTCGAATGTCATTCCTGTTCTAGTGATCTCTGAAGGGCCTTCTTGATAAATCTATATCGACAAGTTGTGACAGAAAACTTGGTTAAAATAAAATGGTCAAGTAATACAACAATATTCTGCGTATAGTAAAAATTCAACACTGCAACAATAAACTGAATTTTAATCCAGACAAGGACGAAATCTATCATTATATACAGTAGCTTAAAAGAACATCCTTAAATTAGTAACATTGCCAAATTTAGTTGCAAAATGTTGCAAAATAGGGAAAATATAGCACTGTGAAATTAGCAAATTTTGAGTAAAATTTACACAGGGTTATATTTTTCGTATTTTACAACATTTCGCAACCAAACTTTGCAATTTTACTATAATTTTCGGATGCTCTTTTGAGCTATAATGATAGATTTCGTCCTTCTTGTCTAGATAAAAATTAGTCGATAGCTGGAATCACCTATTGTCCGCAATATTATCGAGTTTAACCGCGTAGGCGGGATACTGTTTTCCAAAAATAATTAGGGTTAAGATATCATTTGATGAGTATTTCGCACGGTTAGATTGAGTTTGAAATTTCGCTTCCTGTGATTTACTGAACCGTTTCCAATAAGCGGTAAACGGGTTCCCTGAATGTATGCATGTATGAACATCTGTATCTGTTTAAGTCCATGTAGTGGCGCCGGCAGGAGGTGGAAATTTGCCCCGGGTCCCCAACTAAAGGGAGGCCCCAAATAGAAATAAAGTGAAAAATTCATAGAAACTACCTTCTCAAGTTCTTTTTCCACAGCTCCCTTCTCTCTCAATGCGCGCTCCAGTTGCGCTTGTTTCTCAGCTCCTTCCTGAAGCAGAAGGGGAAATTATGATCATGATTAAAACATGTGCGCTAACCAATCACTTTATACAACATGATAACTTTAACAAATAACAAGGTGCGTGGAAAGAAAATAATTTGAGAATGCGTAAAGAAACTTAGACTTGCTCTCTTCAAGAAACTTAGATCTTGGGATGCGTAAAAAAACTTAGACTTGCTCCAAGTCTCTCTTTCATGGTCTTTCGGAAACTATAGTGGATCGATACAGAAAGACAATGAAAGAGAGACTTGGAGCAAGTCTAAAAGAAACTTAGCTCAGAACCATTGCTTGCAGGGTAAAAGAAACGTACGTATTTTAAACCAGTGAAGAGAAGGTTACCGGTTGGCTGCGCTCACCAAATATCAGAGCGGTTGATTTGTTTTTCGCTAAGTAAACGCGCACGTTCTATATTTTATAAAACACTGCATGGTGATGTAAAACACGAAGCAAAGTGATTTTGGATATCAAGTAAACTAAACTTAATATAGTGGGATAACGGAGATTTTTGTAACCGTACATCCATGCAGTTTTGTCAAGTTTTTATAGGTTAGCTCTTAACTTCGATAGCTCTCATTACAACGGCCATAACATTGGTTCTGTTAGATCAATTATTATTAGCCCTATTCACATTAGAGACGGACAAGTCGTCTAGACGAACAAATCGTCTCTCAAAAATCGTCTTCACAGACGGACAAGTATAGTCGAACAAATTCAGACGACTTGTTCGTCTAAAATTTTGTCCGACACGTTTTCACATCTGATGATTTATCCGACTAAAAGACGATTTTGAGACGATTTGTTTGTCTAGACGACTTGTCCGACTTCTAATGTGAAAACGGCTATTCATTATTTTTAGACGTGTAAAACCTCATCAATAAAACCCCAATGATAATTACTCCACACATGCAAGAATGTTTGAGGCCGGATAACCTGTTTACCAGAAACAATAGGCTATGGGAATCTTTACACATTACGTCATTTTAAGAAAAATTGCAAAATATACGTAAGGTACAATTATTATATTGCCTGAACCGCTATATATAATGCCCAATATTCATACTGATATACCTAGGAATCCATACAGTCTATATTTGTGAGTAAAACCTCATCATAAAGTGACGGATTATTTCTTAGTCGCATGTTAACGACAAGCAACAACTTAATATAATATAGTGCAGTAAGTCAACATTGTTAGTTAACACAAAATACGTTTAAAATAATAGTTGATGCCAATTGCTTATCGGAGCAATATAATACAAATCAGACGCCTTTTACCGGTAAAAACTCAAAAATCCATTTTCTATCGCGAACATTGATTGACATTCTTGGACAACACAACTCTCCGTGAAACTTGAAGGCACTTCAGCCAAGCGAGTATTATATTGATACGTTCAGCATAGGTTTAGTCCAAGCTATTTCGGTAAGATTACAGTTACGGCGTCCATCGCAGAGCAGGTAAAGTGCAATGTAAACATTAGCTTGAAACTTATTAACATGCGGGTATTGTGAAGCGTATGTAAATTACGGAATGCACAAAGACAAAGTATAAACACGGACTAACACAAATTGTGGACACGGACTAAAACATATTCATATGCTTGCTTTCATACTTAAAGCTTATAATTTTGCCAAAGCATACAGCCAAGCAGCCACATGCACAGACGACATGCACTATTCGCTTGAACTTTTTAATACTGATTTCGGAGTTCCCAAAAAAGCTTCAATTTCCCAACACAATTGTGGCCAAAGTTTCGGGAAATTGTATGTAGCTTTAAAGAATATCGAATGAAATATACCTCATAAACTCTAAAGGTTTCTTACACATGTACTGTAAATTAAGTGTGCGACATAATCGTGCGCCTGTAATATTTAATCCCTATGCCTATACTTTCTGACCGTATAAGGACGGTTAGCACTATTTTCCATCCAGCAAACTGACCTGACGTCATTTTCGCAAGATAGAAGAGGTGTTAAATGGCTATGTAACTAACCCAAACCCTACCCCTACTCTAACCCCTAACCCTAACTCGAACCCTAACCGAATTAATAAAAAAATCCAAAAAGAAACGACTTTACAAAATCGATAGGGCGGTTTGCTGGATGGAAAAAAGTGCTAACCTAGAAGGACATATATGCCCCATTGCTCGCTTACGTACTAAAATCAAATGGTCCAACAAATATTAATTGGTGTTGGCCACTGCTTTTATTGTTATATTATAGATGCAAAAGTGTTCCACTATAAGATTACCATGAAGAATAAAATCACCGTTCCAAAATTATAATTCTCAGTCTTCATGCATGATCATGCAGTGAAAACGCGAGCAATTCTGGAATACAAATTTGATGGGGGGAAGATAACCTATACTTATTTTTGAAATGCCAAAATGTGAGTACACGTTTCTTGACCAATTAAGTTGCATTGCCCCCTAATGCGTCCTACTTTATTATTTTACTGTCTAACGCCAAACGATTTTACTCGTCAAAGGGAGAGCGCTGACGGTCAATGGGTTAAATCTGAAAAGATAGTACCTGTACATGCAAGAGCACATTCGACACAGGAGAAATTCTATATTGGAGAACCAGAGAGGATCCGTATAATTTCGACCGAATGTTGGCAAACCCTTTTAATATAATATTAATCCTAATATTAATCATCGCTGGAAACTAACCATTTCCATGTATTGTAATTCTTCCATCAGTTTCTGTAAATTTTTGTTACAATGATCCTTCACTTTTCTCACCTGCAGTGAAAGAGCGTTAATACAGTGAAGAAATGACGAGTTTGTAAACAATTCAATGATTATTTTTTCAATGATTTCAATCAATTCAATGATTATCTATGGTCATGCAGGTACAAAACTGTTGCAGGGTGTATATAAAAAGGTAGGCTAAAACAACTTCAGCATGTTCATGTGCGTTGGATATTGAGTTTATTGATAAAATTTTTAAATAGCAAGAAAATTCAGGCTTTTACTGTAGCTGATAAAACTACACGAAACTAAACTAAAACTCGAGTCCGAACATCAAGCGAAGTTGGAAAGTGGAAGTTCGTCCAATGATACGTTTTTTTTTTATCGAATCGAATAAATATTGCCGGTGGAAATGCATTTGGATCTACAATTCATGAATTTTAATTCAAAAGCCCTAACATCTGGTCACTTCTGTTTTAAGCTTATTGTTTGGCATGGCATATTAGAGATTAAATTGGTTTTTCTTTATTTGTTCTGCACTCATGCTATAATAATGCACATAGGTAGAAAAATGCGATTTCAACCGCCAAATTTGATCGTTTTTGCTTGAAATTTTACAAAAAGTGTGATTCGAAAGCTAAAACCCTAATCTTTAATACTGTGAAAAAATTAAACCTGTAAACTCAATATTGAGCGCACAAGAGCACTCGAAAGCAGGATTACATAGAGAATAACACATGGGTGCGCGGAAATACCACATTTATTTCGAGTGTTGAACATGATATCTCACGAGTGAGCGCAGCGAACGAGTGAGATATCATTTTCAACACGAGAAATAAATCTGGTATTTCCAAGCACCCATGTATTTTTCAGTTTATTATATAAACAAAATTCAGTGAAAAACAATAAAACGTCCGTGGCAATGCGTTTTACAACAAATGATATTTTCACACGTAAAAATATCGTATTTTTTACGTGTGTTTAAATACGATTTTTCTCAGTGGCCAAAAACTCTATATAACACTTATGTTTATATAATAAAGTACTTTTTTATACACCCTGCACATTGCTTCCAATCTTCATATCCAAATATCTCACGCATGCATGCAAGCATTTCTGTCCATAATCATATAAGAAGCAAGGTAGCTATCATTCGAGGTTTTTTAAAGGTCCTCATTTTTATTGCAAAGAAAAGGCACGTAAGTTGTGAAAGTCAATATTTAACGCACATTATACTGCATGTGTTTTTTACGCTGTAAATTGTATATGAATGTCATGAATATTGAATAACTTGGGGGACAGCGTAGATCGAGATCTGCAATCATCTAACCGTTGTGTGATGGCTCTGGACTGCCTGAACAATATAAGCCAGGAGAAAATTCAGACGTTTCAACCGATGGCCCCTCTTTGCAAGGATAGTTAGCAGCAACTGCCAACTCTACGGCGGCGAGCCTTTGCTCGAAACATTGAAATACTTCTAATGCCAGGACCGGGCGGAGATTAGACATTAGAGAGGTTAAAGGGGTTAAGAGGTTTCGGTGTACGGGTACGAGTAGTGTCATCTTGTTTTACTGATGTCTGTAAGTCGATCATACTTTTTCTGCTTTCTTGCAATAGACAATGATATAATGCGAAAAATGTGCACCTTAATTACGAGTAAAGGTACAGACATCGACGACAATATTGCTAACCAAAATCTTGCTACCCGTACCCGTACACCGAAACCGAGGTATCTTAACCTCTCTATCATACTATGTCTATGTCTATGAGTAAATTCGTCTTACTTCTTCTTTTGTTTTTGTACCAGCATCATGAAGTAACTTCTGAATAACTTCGTGCAGTCTGTTCACCTCTTCAGATTTTTGCTTTTCTCTTACCAACACCTTAACACAGTGCAAAAGGTACAGGCATGAATGGAATATTGTGCGACCTATGCGAGGATTCTTAATGCGGAACAATTATTTCTGACATTAATCTTATAGTATAGCCTACTAAGTGTTCTTATGTCTTATACTAGCATCTTTTATAAGGCGACACATTTTTTCTTATATCCTACTGCACTCAGAGAGCTCTATATACTGTATGTATCTGGAGAAAGAACTTCTGCCATTCGGCCTGTAAGAAAAGTGAAGCCAAGATGGCGAAATTGACGTCCAGTATAGCTATGAAGGTTGTAAACAGTTTTAATACCATTTTCCCAGCTAATTCCAGTTTTTTCTAACGGACTGATTAGCGAATCATGTTATCTGTTCATAAAACCATTATTTAACAAATATTCACCGAAGGCGAGGTGATTATCGGTGAATAAAAACCGAGACGAAGTCGAGGTTTTTATTCACGATAATCACCAAGCCTGAGGTGAATAATTGTTTTAGTATAATTTCATAGGTGATTATTTGGAAAAAAATAAAAAAATGCACATTTCTTCGTCTTTTAATTGACAAAACGGCTTCGGCCGCCATTTTGAAAATCGCTTAGGTGATTATCGCGTAATAATCACCTCAACGGTAACCAATCAGCGTGGAGAATTTTCAATAATCACCTATGTAATTATACTAAATAGTATTATTCTTTCAATCGAAGTCAAAATCGTCCATCTTTGGTTTCACTTTTCCGACTTGAGTTCTCACTCCAGATATATATGGAGTTCACTGAACGTAGTGTGTAGGCTATGAAAATCATAGAAATAATAGATATTTCTATGATGAAAATACACATAAGTAAATTTCGTGCATCTTGTTTCCTCAAATCATTATATTGTATTACATTATATACCTGATCACGTTCGAGAACAGCATTCTCTACCAACTGCATACTCTCTCGCACATGTTTACCAGCTTCATACTCCACACGTTCTTGTTCTAGACTGAAAAATTTAAAATTGAATTTATTGATGATTATGAAGATTTTGGATGAAAAAATATATTCGATGATCGATGAAAAAATATATTCAGTTTTGACGGACCATGATAAATGAACATAGAAAACTATCAGAAGATTCAAAATATCTCTTTGATACGATATTATATAACCAATATTACTATGAGCTGAAAATACGTTATTACATAAATTCTGCTTACCTCTTCTTTAAGAGAGCTTCAATGCGTTCTTCGAGCGCGGTATTTTGTTCTTGAACTCGCTTGCACATACCCATGGAGCTAGTCAGTCTAGAAAACAAAGCAACTCAAATAAACAGTTGTTATAGTATATGTCTGTCTCCAGTCCCTCCATTCATATTGTATTTTTATTTCACAATCTAATTCTAAATTCTTCTTGTCTTTCCTCTGTGATTTAAAACTCGTCTTATATACCAACATGAAACATTTGATATACCAACATGAAACATTTGACAGTCTGTCAGACTGACCAGTCTGTAGCACAACAGTAAAAGTATACTATACCAGTAGACCTGTTTTTAGCTAGAGCATATCTTATTGTTTCTGTTACGGTCACCTCGATTCCAATTCTATAACTTTTGTTCTGTATTCCTCCAGTCGAGACTCTACATCCTGTTCTTTACTGCTCAATAACGCCTTGTCTTTTTCCTATATAAATGTATCGAACTAGTAAATCTAAGGCGGTATATTCGCACAGTATGTTCATAATAACGTAATAACATGATGATAAGCGAACTCTGAACAATTACAATTCAAATACAGTAGTCAAGCAAGACTTTGCAGTCGTCAAGCAAGTTGATGGGTGGGCGGCGCACATGACTGACACAACTCGGCACCAGAGCTGGCAGAGCACCCCCCCCCCCTTACCAGATCATGCTGGATCCATCCCTGGACGTTTTCAAACAACATCGCTCCCGCGTAGTGTTACGTATAGTCTTAGATACAATATGTCAATATTCTGCGTAAGAAAAAACAGTACAGCCACCTCAGTAGTAGAACGTGAATGTATTCATGTGCTCACCCGTAATTTCGTTTGTCCTTGCAACGCGCTTAACCTTCGCTTTAGATCTTCGTTTGCTGAAGTTAAAGACTTTAGTTCAGTTTTGTTTCGCCTAGAAAATTTATAAGAAAATATACATCACCATTACAACTTTTCTCCCGGTGGTGGTGGTGGGGGGGTGGGGTGGGGGTGGTGTTGGACAATCATTCTATAATTAACAGTGATTTAAGGGCATCGACATAACAAAGTAGATAGTGTGTAAGTCTTAGCTCTTGATACTTTCTCCGTGCAGTAGTGGTATCTTTATTTTGATCAACATACGACCAGGGGCCGGTTGTATAAAACTCTTAATCACTTTTTTAATCACTATTTTGTAGTTAAATAGTGATTAACTCTCAAATAGGCGCTTCTTATTGGATGACATTTCCACTTAACTATGATTAACTTTAATCACTTTTTATACAACCGGCCCCAGAAAAACAGCACACCGTTCGTCATTTTGATTTTGTTCAATAATGTATTACATATTGGGGGCTCACCATATTTTACATTATGTATAATTTACATTTTAAAAGTAAGAAACTTTTCCTTTGACATTTCTTTGGTAAGGAGGAAATATTTTGGTTTAATGTGGAGAAATAGCCGGCGATTGTACATGGTATATATGGACGGCGAAAATTGCCGGATGCTGGCTTCTATTGGGCACGCTGCTATATGTATAGTTGGTCTCACTTTTCATTCGAGTAAAGTTTTTATTCGTGTTCGTATACCTTATCTCTTCACGTGAAGATTCAACTTCTTGATCTTGGGCTTCGGCCGTTACCAAAAATTGATCATATTCCTATATAAAGTCAACAATAGCCCCGCTTGCTTTTTGATGAAGCACATTGTAATGAAATCACATTGCAACCAAAAACAATATTTTATTACTTACCACTTGCAATTTTCTGTTGGTTACTTGTAACTGTTCAGCAAATCGACGAGCTTTCAGCAAATCGTTCTGTAATTCAGTTATACAAGCCATACGAAGTCCGGTTAGATATTATTTTCTCGAGGCCTCAAAAGACAAAAACGCCGCAGGCCGCGAGAAAATAGTTATGAAATTTTGGGACCGAGAGAAAATACTTTACAAAACTTTTTTATTTTTTGTCGATGTATACCGACTCACCTGCAGGTATTTGGCTTCATCCAGTTTACTTGCAAGCTCTTCTGCCATCTCCTGTTTGATATAAATTAACACGAAAAATGCATTTGGTAAAATTACTTAAGGTGGCGATAGCAACATTCCAATTCGTCCGATGATCAAAAGTATTTCAATATACTGTATAAATTATTTAGAATGAAATATTACAGTAGATTGTCTATACTTATCTTACTATGACTACGATTATCAATTAAAACTGATGGTTTGTGATTCCAAACATCACGATTTCGTTTGAGTTAAATGCGTTATTAAATTTAGATTGAAGCGTAGGTATAGAAACGAAAATGTCCTAAATTTTTGCGACAGGAAAGATGGGTAAAGAGTCATTATATATTTCACTACTAAATGAAAATGTTTAGATTCTACCTTGTGAACGCGATGCAGTTCTTCCAGTTCTTGCGAAGTCTTTTCCAGCATTTCACTGTTATAATCCCTTTCCTTTGGCAAGAAAAGTGTATATGAACGAACAAAATTTCTTCTTAAATACAATTCATGTGCTGTAGTTTAAAATGAGTGCTTTTGACTTGTTTAGCATGCAGTTAAGAAAAAGGCATGCTTCAAGTTAATTCCTTCTCACTAGCAAGGCAGTAAAAGATAAAATTTTACATCTGCTACTGTACATGTATACTGCCTGTATCAAAATTCAAGCTATACTTTATACTGTGGCGTGCAAATTAAGGCTGACAGGTTGTGCTGCGGTGTGTGCGCACCCTGTTGGCCGGGAAGCTCACCAACAGCAGGTTAATTGGATGATTTATTTCTGTGTTCATATGACTTAGAATGACGCAAACATGGCGCCATACAGATATCTCGTGATTGAACAAATTGTGCGTTCTATTAAGACTTTTATAGTAAGTCCATAAGTCTTTAATTTTCTTGTAATATATTTTCCAGGTACGCCGCTCAATACTATAGGTCAAAATGTCCATCATGAGATGGGATAAAGCCTTTATGTGGAAAATGTTGCCCACTCGATCGAGATCCAACTTAGCACAAGGTGAGATCTCATATATCCAGGCTGGCGCGTCTCTTATATCAGCACATGCACACGTATTAACAAGGCCATGCAGATTTCACTCAGATGAGTTTCCCCGTGAGCGAAGGAGTGATTTAGTGAAGTAACTAGTACTCAGACATAAACAATAGCACTGTGTTTCTACTTCATTATATATTCACACTTTTGGTTGTTGCAGTCAAATTTCCCCGTGTGGTTTGCCACCCAAAAATGCGGACACGACCTGGTCACATGATGTGAGAAAGGATATCGTTTTTCACTCTAACTCGGTTGTGATCAGTATATTAGAAACACAAAATGCACATTTAATATTGCGAGCTTCTACATTCACGGAACGACTGCTTAAAAATAGTGTTAAAGAATTAAAACATTAGTGCATTCATTTAACATGAAGTTACCTTCGTTGTAATTTCTAGTTGATGTTGTAGATTGTCCAAAATATTGCTATCAACAGCAGTTTTCTCTGACTCCATTCCAGTCCGTGCTGTGCCCATCTCGCGTTCCAGAGCCAGACGGCGTTCCTGCAACATTCTTTTAAAATACAAACAAAATCAACTCCTGTATTGTCTTGTTTCGCTTAATTAAATTACCTTGATGGTGTTGACAATGAAGCTAATAATTGTCCCGTCTTAGGTCGGATTCCAGTTCTTTGAAACTCTGAGGTTGGGTTCCAGTTCCTTGAGACTAATCCTATGAGTCACTCATGTATATTTCCCCCCAATGTTAAACACCCCGCCCCCGCCCAATAAATGCCGGATAATTTCATAGCAAAAAATACCTTAGGTGTGTATAAACATGTCAGCGTGTTTAAATAAAGTTTTTCTATCTATCTATCTAAACCCATACAGTGAATCCACCGTGCTCTTCGCATGCGTGAAAAGACTGGGACTGGCCTTCAAGTTTGGCTTCAAATTTCCAGTTGGAGTTGGCGTTCCAGTTATATTCATTTCACTGGTATACACCATTCAACAAGCACGAGGTAAAATCTAGATTTCTGATTAAAAACAATTATGCGATATGAACTAACTTTCCATTCTCGTGAACCACTTCTGAAATTCTCTCCTTCAAAGATGCTTGTTCTCTCTAAAATACAGTGGTAAGAAAAAAGTACCAAACGCAGCACAATGAATCGCCATCAATTCTTAAAGTGCTTATGAAACGAAATTTTTGCTTCAATTTTTATTGTCTTATTAAAAGGTACTGCTTAAATGATGACGAATGACGTTTACAGTTTGTGCGTATCTCATCTCATTCCCAAGTTATCGCACTTTCTATATTTTGAGTTGTGACGTCACTAGTTTGACTCAAATAGTGGCAATAACAAGAAAATCTGATGTCTTGATGATCATTTAATATAATTCAATGAAACTTGGCACACTTAGTGGGTGCAACGAAGTGAACAATTTGGCTTGTTTATATGGTTGTTATGGCAACACACTCGTCCCCAGTCCCTTCTCTTCCAATTTCTATATGATCCATTTCCAACGAAATAAATAGTAATTTCTGCAATTGTCGCTTATTATTATAATACGTGTAGCTATTGTGATCAGTTTAAACCGTTATAACATGCAAACATCCTCTGCAAGAGGTCTACAGGAGGAAATTTGTGAAATGGAAGAGAAGAGACTGGGGACTAGTGTGTTGCCATGACAACCACATGACCTGCCAAAAATATTCATATGGGTCTACCCACTAAGTGTACCGAGTTTCATTGAATTTTATTAAATACTCACTAAGATATCAGACTTTCTTGTTATTGCCATTATCTCAAGTCAAACCAGTGACGTCACAACTCAAAATTTAGAAAGTGCGATAACTTGAGAATGAGATGAGATATGAAGAAACTGTAAACGTCATTCTTCACCGCTCTAGCAGTACTTTTTAGCACAACAATAAAAAATGAGGTGAAAATTTCGTTTCATAAGCACTTTAAGTTAAATATTATCACCTTGTACTGGTTTAATTCATTCTTTAAATTTCGAATAGTATTGTCGTACTCGATGAGAAGAGGGGACAAAACACTAAAGAATATAAAAGCATATTTGGATATAAATTATAGCATAATCTTTGCATCATTCTGCAGTGCATGCATGCATCATCATATTATTCAGTTTTCTTATGTCAGTGAGTGGTGGCCACCAGGTGTGGAAGGTTGTGGGGGCACTTCAACACGGAAAACGTATTCACCATGATTTTACCTTGAGTCAGACAGCCAAGGATGGAGTGGATCTTCAGACTTAAAACATTCAACCAAGAATACACAGTATGTTAAATATAAAATATATATATTGTTAAACATTGTACAGCATACAGTCATTCATACTATGAAGTTAATTAAACTTCTATATCATGTTAATAATATATGTTTGCGACAAAATAATAATTTAGTTACTATCTATACTAGGCCTTAACATTCATGATAGTAAAGTACCTTGACTTCTTCATCTCGAACAGGAAGATATTTTCGCTGATAAGCACTTAGCACAGAATTTAGACGAGAAACTACAAAGAAAATTTTTTAAATTTTACAATAACAATGGACCATTTGCATTATAGACTAAATTTTGATCTAAACAAGTCTAGACAAAAATTTCATCACAGCTTGAAAGAGCATCACAAAATTAGTAATATTCCAAAGTTTCGTTGCGAAATTATAATGTTGTAAAATGCGGATAATATAGCCTTGGAAATTTGCCGTTTTTCAGTCATTTTGTATTACAAACGGGAAATTGACAAACCCAAACCCAAAGGGTATTGAGCTGTCAATTTTCCCCGCGTAATGCAAAATGACTGAAAAACGGCAAACTTTGCAAGGCTATATAAGCCTATATTATCCGTATTTTACAACATTTCGCAACGAAACTTTGGAATATTACTAATTTTGTGATGCTCTTTCAAGCTGTGATTGTGACTGGCTGAGAAGCACTTTCAGTGGTCCATTATTTTCCCGTGATGGACCGGCGTGCCATTACGCAAAAATAAACGCACAACTAATTGGCAGCAAAATTATTATTAAAACAGCAAAACTAATTGAAACTAAGACATCTGCGAATGGTTTTAAGTAGAAAGGAAGGAATACGTTGGTATTTTTTGTTTTCTTCGATCAAATGTGTACCACGCTACTATAATATGCATTTCAAACCATGCATTTCTTGTTTGTTTCGACTATAAATGCCTATAAATGCCATATAATAAACTTTTTATTAACCTCGCTTGCTCGGTCTTTTACAGAGAAATATCGGACCTCGGTCTTTTTGTACAAACTTCGCCCTACGGGCTCGATCGGTCTGTACAAAAAAGACCTCGGTCCGATATTTCTCTGTAAAGACCGACCTCGCGCTCGGTAAATAAGAAGTTATTATTCAATGGCTAAGAATTGCAGTCAAAACAATTTTTGGTGTAAAAATATCCCAAAGAGATGATCTAAAGTGATTTAACCATTTAACCAGCTTTCAATTGTAGAACAATGTATAGTACAAGGGGACGGAGTAATCAACACAGGAAGCTTTGCTGTGCGGCAATTTGTTATTAATAAGATATCTGCGGTTCGAATGGTTTTTAGTGGAAAGGAAGGAATACATTGGTATTTTTTGTTTTCTTCGATCAAATGTGTACCACGCTACTAATATACATTTCAAATCATGCATTTCTTGTTTGTTTCGACTATAAATGCTTATAAATGCCATATAATAACCTTTTTATTAACCTCGCTTGCTCGGTCTTTACAGAGAAATATCGGACCTCGCTCTTTTTGTACAAACCTCGCCCTACGGGCTCGGTCTGTACAAAAAAGACCTCGGTCCGATATAATATTTCTCTGTAAAGACCTCTCGCTCGGTTAATAAGAAGTTATTATTTATTGGCTAAGAATTGCAGTCAAAACAATTTTTGGTGTAAAAATATCCCTTTCAATTTACAGTGTAGCTCAAGGGGACGGAGTAATCAACACAGGAAGCTTTACTGTACGGCATTCGAGGCCATCAGTATCTCATACTTTGAACAAATTTACTACGGTACAGTAATGACATTTATCACTGAAAATTTCTCGAAATGTAATGCACCGCACACCTTTTACGAAATTTTGCCGTGACGATGCGATGGCACTGAAAGTGGCGTGTGTAAACAATGAATCGTGTAGTACGTAGTACTACTTGAAATCAATTCAAAACCTCCACAATTTTAACATTAAAATTGAACCTGTCCACAAAACAACATGATCTCTTCTCAAAATTAAGGCTATGTCTTAATTGTAAAACTTTTGAAAATTAAGGATATAGCTTAATTTTGAAATTCTCCAAAATTAAGGCATAGCAAAAAAAAGGTTAGAGGTTAGAGTGGGGGTTGGGGTTATGTTTAAAATTAAGGCAATGTCTTAATTTGAACGCTTTTTACAATTAAGACATAGCCTTAATTTTCGGAAGAGATCGAGCTGCCACAAAAACAGATTCCTTAGCCCGTATTCTGGCCCGTACCATGCAGGTGCGCCGAGAGGCTAGAATGAAGCCAGTCGGTGCAGATTGAAAGGCACCACTTCAACAACTACTGCATGCACGGCATACACTGCACAATAACTACAACCTTGAGATTACAACAACTACAAGATAAATGTGTGGTTAGCGTGCCTTTTTTGTTGTGTTTAAGGATGGTTTGTCCGATTTCTTTTTGGAAGAGAATCATGCAGGTATTTGTGAGAATTCACGAGAGAGAAGAACGGTACTGGTTTTCTCCAGCAACGGGGTTGCAACCAAACCCTAATGGTTGAATTCTTGAAGCATCCTAACATTAAGAGTATCTTAACTACTGTAGGGTCCCGATAGCCAGGGGCGCCGGAATAAATTGTCATGTTTCCAAGATATTGTATTGTTAAACCAATTCGATGTCATCGCTCTCACAGAGACCTGGTTGAATAATTGCATAACTGATTACGAAGTTATTCCAAACGGGTATCAAATCTTTCGTGAAGACCGTTCAACTGGCAAGCGTGCAGGAGTGGTGTTGCTATAGCGGTGAAGGATTCTATAAGTACCGAGCCTTGTGCTTCACCAGAACATAACCAGGCCTTAAAATATCTTTTACAAGGCCGTCTGACAAAATGTCTGATGACGTTGAGTTTGGGCCGGACATATGTCCGATGAATATCAGCACAATGCATTAATTCTGAACGGTAAATGTTGTGAAGATATTAAATAATTTGAGTTTCTTTCATATTTATTTCTAAGCCAAGATTAACTTGCTTTCCAGAACAGCAGTATTAAAAAAAGACTTGCTTAGGCCCGTTTTCCACGTCACCATTTCACTCGCCGCCCCGCGCTCGACTACGTTAAAACAACATTTCCAGTTCACCTTTTATACAATGGTACTCTGATTTTCCATTTGACATACAAGCCTCTAGTACTGGGCTAGGGTAAATTTTGATTTACGATGGACAAAGCTACAGTTCGGTCGGACACAAATACATTCAGGTCGGACAAACAATAAACGTCAGTTTCACTTTGGTCGGACAATGTTTAATGGTTTAATCCTCTCTACGTCGGACAATTTCACGAATGGGTCGGACAATGTCTGTGACCGACCGATATTTTAAGGCCTGTATAACACCATGCAACAAGCAAAAGTGACAAGACAGACCAATGGACCTATTACCTAATGAACAAAATTTTGATCTAGACAAAAATTTCATCACAGCTTGAAAGAGCATCACAAAATTAGTAATATTCTGAAGTTTCGTTGAAATGTTGTAAAATGCGGATAATATAGCCCTGTCAAGTTTATCGTTTTTCAGTCATTTTGTATTACGCGCGGGAAATTGATACCTTTTTTCAGAAAGCGGTACCAATTTCCCGTGCGTAATACAAAATGACTGAAAAATGGCAAACTTCGCAGGGATATATCATCCGCATTTTACAACATTTCGCAACCGAAATATTACTAATTTTGTGATGCTGTTCCTTTATTGTTATTGAGGTCAGTGGAAATATTCAATAATTATGGCAGTACTTCATGAGTGCTGAACATTGTGCAGTTAAATTGAGTCTGGCATTATGGTGAAGGTTAACACTCATGAAAACCAAGGAACTTATAGTTCTTGGACTAATTAACTATTAATTAGTTTTTGGATTAGCTATTGTATCCAATATCTCATTGCTTGATTAATAGGGTGAGGCGGTTTTTCAGTAAGCCGAAAAAAACAGATGTTTTTTGAAAACCAAAATACTCGATGTTACTTTTGGAGAAAAACCGGCATTTTACTAAAGACAAACCATTACTTATACAAGTTTGTAATTTGATAAATTGATGTCCTCAGAATACCTTACGTTTAATATCTTGCATGAGTACTGAGTAGTGTGTGTGTCTTTTTTACCCTAGTTTTGATTTTAGAACATATTTTTAAAAAAAAACGTTTCACTCGGGTTTTTTTTGGTCGGTTTTCGTTTTTTTGTAGAAACCGCCTCACGCTATTGATTAATTAAGGACAAAAATAATAATAATTCTATAAAAAGTGCATTATCTGAAAATCATGAGCAACAAGTGAACATGTATAAATTAGTGTACAAAAATCTATAGATTCGTGCAACACTCAACACATCTGTAGTACTGGTACCTGTTCAGACCTAACCCTGTTACAACTTACAGGCATGACTCAATGGACAAGCATTCTATAATTGTACCATATGCTGAGTACTTGCATTTAATAGTGCAGAAGCATGACAATTGTCATGTGAAGCATATAAAGTTGTAAAAAAAAAATTATAAAAACTGTATTATATTTATGACCATTTATATAAACAAGCTAAGTTTCGCTGGTAGGGATGCAACTACCTGAAAATATATAAGACGAACAGGGGCGCCAGAGCTACGGGGGCAGCTGCCCCTGTTGCCTAAACAGTGCGGGGGCAGCACAGGGGCAGCAGGTTGCCTTTTTACCAAAACTGCACTTCGAACGTCATGTGTTTTTTGCATGAATTGAAATTGAAAACTGTTTTTAAACAATTTAGCTCATACTTGAATCTGAATTCCTCTCAGAAACGTTACGAATCAGTTTCCACCTGATATATGAAAAAAAAGTAAAAAAGGAAACCTTCCTAATTTTCCAATCTATGCCGAAATTTGTCTAACTGTATTACCTACAAGTAATGAAGTATCCGTTATACAGCAAAATGTTAACGAGCATTGCCCTCCCCCCCCTCCCCGCACAAAAATTAAGGCTCAAGAGTAAGTGCCCTTTTCACATGGCTGCCCCCGCTGCTTCATGTTGCTTCCGGCGCCCCTGAAGACGAATTTCGACGTTTCGAGCGAAGGCCCTTCGTCTGGAGTGAAACGTCGTCGAAATTCTCCTCATATATTTTCAGGTAGTTGCATCCCTACCAACGAAAGCTTGTTCATTCGATTGGCACTACCTATACACTGGTAATAATTTAGACAGTTCAAGTGTATATATTTTATAATATTTACACTATTTTGACTAGCCAGATCACAGCATACTATGAGTGTGCATTTTTATAGTACCTTGGTTTTGTAAAAACTCAGTGTACTCATCTGAGCTGTTCTTTCGTTCAATTTCCATAGAAATAAGCGATAATAAACATCACTTGCATACGATGTAAACAAAGCACTATATCGCCGCCATGTTTTCACTATCAAATTTATAAGCTTCATGCTGATTGGTCCAGTATATAGACGAGTTATAAACGGTGCTCTCTGATTGGTCACACTGTAGCATATGCCAAAGTTTGAAAATCAACATTCAAATTTTCCCTCTCAAAGTCAGTGGGAAAGGACCAATTGGTTGGCTTCTCTTCGTTAGTTTGGGCCGTTTTTGGATTGAGTAGACGGATAGTTTTACGCTTAATCATGTTTTCAAGATCAAAACGATTTAATGATCAAGGTAACTCACTATATCACTTTGATTTTCTAACAATATAAAGAATAGAAATGTCCTGAGATCAATAGTCGCAAAGATGCTATGATGGCATGATGCCAAATAGATATTGTAATGCATTCTTGAGCAACTAGCAAACGCATAACTTTATTTATCCAAAGCTAAATAATCTGTAGAATAATCTTGATTTTATTCAAATCTCCAATTATGCCTTATTAATTACTGATAATTACTTATAAATATTAATTGTAGTATGCATGCAATCTGATCTGAAATGGATATCACTATAATTATAAATAACAGACTTTGTGTAACTAATATTTAATAGTAACTAGAATAATGGAGTATAATGAGATGTTTAGAATATATAGTTACTGTATTTTACTTGTTTAAGCGCTGTCCCCAATTCGCCATAAAAAAGATGTCGGCATGTCGATCTACCTACAATCCTTTGCATGCAGCAAGCATAAATCCGCAAAAAAGAGTGACAAGAAAAACAGACAATGACATGAAACTTTAACAGATAGGAATAACTGACGTCTTGTCTTTTGTGTGTTATTTAAAAAACGTTTAACTGTTGTTTTAAATCATTTCCGACTGCAATGCATTGTGGGTAGATCGACAGCCGCCATCTTTTTTATTAAGGCGAATTGAGCGCCACCCTCGAATAAGTGCCACACTTAATCACACCAAAATGGCCTACAGCCACAGTGGAAATTGTGCAGCCGAGATTTCGAAAATTTAATAGTAAATATATAGAAAGCATCAAAATTGCATGTCCGATATCAAGCACACTCCCCCTGTCAAGTAAAATCGTCTGGCATTAGACATGGTGAAATGTCTGAAGAATTGTTTGTGGTACCCAACCAAGGAAGGAAAACACTATGGGTATGTAGCCAGTGGAGCTTTGGCCATATTTTGGGGTGGAGCTTAACAGGGTGAATAGCTAGAAATATGGCCAGCCAACATACTGTACTATACTGATTTGTAATATGCCCCTAAAGTTGTTTATAAGCAAACCGTGAGGGGTGGATCCAGCAAGGTTTTTCTAGGGGGGTGCTGGGTGAGCAGCTGAGTGTTTCTTTATAATTCTTTAGGGAAAGAGCATTCGAATGAATTGGCTTCCTAACAACTTCCTTCCTTCCCAACAACTAGGGGGTTCAGCAGACCTGTCAAGTTCTATAAAATTTTATGCGGGAAGGTAATTTCCTTCGGTTAGTGTCCTCGAGGCACCACCATGGTTGGCGTGCCCAGGGGAAAATTTTAAAATTTGAGTTCCCCAGAAAATTGCCTTTCCGAGGTTTTTCTTTTGCCTTTTTCGAAACACAAACCTAATGTGTTCATGCTATAAAAATATGAAATGTTAGTGTCGCTCCTCCTTCCCAAACGGCAAAAAATAACGCTCCTCAGGCTCAGGAGTCTATACCAGTTTTTTTGTCTCTTTTTGATATGCGATTGAGACACACATTTTCAAGACTTCTCAAGACTTCTGGGCACTAGTGTTGGCAAAAAGAATGCATTGGAGATTGTGCAAATGAAAAGAAATGAGAGTAATTGCCCCACAGGAAGAAACCTCCACAAGTTAAGTTTAAAAATGTGGGAAGAAAGTCACTTTATGCGTGATGCATGAAAGCAAACAAAAATGCGGGAATTTCACGGTAATTGCGGGAAACCTGGAAGACCTGGTTCAGGGGTATGCCCCCCGGAAAATTTTGAAAATTAGAACCCTAGAAATGCCATTTCCTGTGATATGGGCATTGAATTGCGAGCTTCAGTTTGACTTCAAAAAAGGAAAAATCTGGTGGATGGGAAATCTGATTGGTTGATCAGCATCATGAAAGATTTTGATTGGTTGCAAGTTCACATAAACAATAGTTTTAAAAATAGCTCAGTCAAGGCGACAATTACTGTAAGGTCAAACGCACGTATCAAATTACATTATCGAATTTCTTTTATGCTTTATGGCAGAAAATAAATCAAACAAACAGTATTTTGAAAGGGTTTTATCAAAATATTTGCCGAAGTTTGGACACACGTCGCTGAAAGAACAGCACTGAAAACTAGTCATGTATTCGAAAGCTTGTTGTTGACAGCCAAGATGTTAGATGTCTTTGCTGTTCTGCCAATTGGCTTCGGCAAAAGTCTTATTTATCAGGTCCTACCGGCGTTGTTTTCTGAGTTACATCGCCTTTTTCTTGGCACGATTGAGAATTACGTTGTTGCTGTTGTTAGCCCATTAATATAGTACATCCACGTCCAGCAAGTTGAGACATTGACTCAAGGCTTGAGAAAGCTTGGCATTCAGGCCGTGCACAGAACTGACTGATTAAATCTTTGTTTGCTGTTCAGTTAAATAGAGAAACTGAACTCTTAATTATATAAAAGTACCTTGAATTTTTAAGTTTAATTAAAAAGCAAAATGCACATGCACTCTGCGGATATGTTCATGGTCTTCATGAGAATATAAATTTTTTGTGCAATGAAATCTACAACACTTGTCAATCATATTGCATGACTGTATCTAAAAATAACATGTGGGCGTCCGTCAGGCCTGAATTTCAGGTTACCCCTGAGCAAACCAAACACAATGCGTTCAGTAAAAACAGCAAGTACAGTAATTAAGAATAGGCGTTGCCAATGGCTATATTAATATTGCACTACCTGTCCATCAAAATGGCTCTCCACCAATGGGAATTTTGTGTTGCTCTGACAACTCAAAAATACATAATGTAATTGTGAGGTTGTGCATGATCATATCTTCCAAGATCATAGCAAGATTATGGTTACCTGTGGTTCCGGTTTAAATCACATCGTGAAAAAATTAGGTACTCGGTATGTCGCAAATAATTTTTTTTTTAAATAGTTTTTTCATGGGGTTTTTTTTTGGTTTTTTTTTGCTGGGTGATTTGCAGTAGAGTCCCGGCATCAATATTAACTAGAGATGCGTATTTCCTATGGACAAATTTAGGCAATTTGGTTCAATAAACAACAGACGTCATTTTGGCACGCTGTATATGAGCAGCCCGCAACCACCCGGAGAAAATAGGGTCACACGGTCAATCGCGTTGAAAAAATAATAAGGTCGGCAGAAAAAAATAGGGTAGGTCGGGAACCGGAACTGGTATTTTTCATAAACCTTGAGGCAAATCATGTCAGCCATATGATATGTCACGTGGAGTGACTTTATATCTGATAAAACTCATCTTTATTAGTATTCTTTATATAATTGTTCATCCTAATTAGTATGATTATATAATTGTTCATCCTAATTAGTATTCTTTTGTACTCGTATTTTAAGCTATTCAAAACACTCGTTGTCGTGTTTTATCAGATATAAAATGCTCGGCTGCGCCTCGCGTTTTATATCTGATAAAATACTGCACTTCTATTCGTGTTTTAAATATATATATATCATAGACGGATTTTCATATTTATTACTGGGGTGGTGCCAGAAATTTTAGGGCGGTGAGCCGTGAGCAGGTGACTGAAGCAAGACAAAGTGTCATCAAACCCCAGTAAGGTCTATATTCTAGGGGTGGAGCACTAGAGCCGCGAGGGGGAGTCTAGAGAGCGGAAAACAAAGTATCCCAGCAAAAATTTGAAAAAAATCATGATTGCTAGCTTCGAAAAAAGTTTTTTGAAGTAGTCAATTTGTCATATCAATGGATTCAGCATGTCCGATTGTCTGTTGAGACTTGAGAGAGTTAAAGACTTAAAGTGAAATGAACCTGTAAAAGGTAAACCCAATAAGCCAATACACAATATGCTTTTACTTTTATAAAGTCATTGACATTGTGTTGTTTGAATCCGAGTACAATTTATGATGCAACTCCGATGTAAATAATATTTGGGGCGTAAGGATTAAATCTAGGCAAGTCTATTTCCTAAAAGAATTAAAAACTAAAAATAGTGTTTGTAAAAATTCCAAATGTTCCTTGCGTGCAAGCTATTCGCATGACAAGGCACTGCAAACTCTATTCAGGGAAGATAGTAGAGTTTCAAAACGTTGCAATTGCTCCAATAAACCAGTGAATGCAAGCGAGGAGCGATTAGTTTCAGAGTGTTGCACTGTCTTTTTCTGTTCGAGTGTACTCCTACGTTTATTTTGTATCATCAACACTCTGCACGTTGGAGTGGACTATTTATTTATTTATTTATTTATTATGCCGAATATTGGGGGGGTTGAAAAATTTTTTGGAGGGGTGGACATTGTATTGGGTTGTAGTAAAGTTGTAGACAATAATCTCTGCGATTGCCTTTTGGACGATAATTTTTTACGTTTTGTTAGAGCATGCGCATGAGAGCTAAGATGGCGTGCGAAGGAAAACAGTGTTTTATACCTAAATCTAACTAAATTTACTATTTTGTAATTTTCTATATATTTTGGTAATTAAAGTGAGTTGAAACCTGTTTTTCGCCTCATTTACTGGCAATCCCAGTACAGTAAAACACTAACGTTCGCTGTGGCATTCCAGAATTGTGAAGAAGCCTAAATACAAAGGAGTTTTGCAGCCCAAAACTTGTGTATTGCTTGAAGACAAATCCAGGAATCAGCCATGAATGTTGAAGATAAAAAACAAGAAAGAAGCAAGGCTAAGATGGCGGTCACTGTCGCTGCGAGGCGTCTGATCGGAGCCTACAACAGAGATTGTGAATATGATATTTTAAAGGATTCAATGTTCGAACTTGAAAAGGTATTTGATGATTTTTGCGTTATAAATGAGGAATACGAACTTATTGTATCTGACGAAAAATACGCTGAACACCGTGTAGTTAATGGTGAAGACATTAGGACTTACAGAGACAATGTAAAAAGGTGCTATGAAGAAGCTAGGAGTGTATTTGTTAGTGTAAAGGCAACGATCGAACAAAAGGCTAGACAACAAAGTGCTGGGCCTGTCAAAGTTGCCCTAAAGAATGACATTTGTAGAATTCATGAACTAATCACAGTCGTTGATGAGAGTTTTAAACTGGATAATGTGAATATGGCAGCTTTACAACTAGATAAGAGTGATCAATTTTGAACATAATATGTGATAACATGGCAAAACTTGGCTCGATTGAAACACAAGAGCAAGTTAACCTAATCCAAGAAGAAGTCGATGCTATTATCAGAGCAGTTTACAATTGCATCAGAAAGATAAACTTGTTTTTGCATGAGCAACAAGCATTTGTTAAATCATTACACATTGAAAATGCCACTTTCCCCTCTGAAACCAACACCCCCCTGAGAACACTGAGACCATCAACACCGTGTCCCCCCCCGGAGATCAACACCAACATCCCCCCTGAGGACACTGAGACCATCAACACCATGTCTCCTCCCGGAAATCAACACCAACACCCCCCTGAGAACACTGACACCATCAACACCATGTCTCCCCCCGGAAATCAACACCAACACCCCCCTGAGAACACTGACACCATCAACACCATGTCTCCCCCAGAAACCAACACCCCCCCCTCCCCTGAGACCATCAGCACCACTTCCCCCTCGGCAATCAACACCAATATCCCCCCTGAGCCCATTTACACTGCAACCCACCCTGAAATTATTGACACCCCTGCAATCGAGACCAACACAATTCCACCTATGTTGCCAATTAACGTTTCCCCCCTTAATTACTCCAGTCCCTTTGGCACCCAAGTTACCACCAACATTACAGAGGCCAACACCCCCCTACCAACCTTACCTGGGACCAGTACGGGTTTTTGCTTGAATACATCAGCTCAAACCTTCATTCCCTCTACCACCTTTCATTCGGAAAGCAGTTCCACATCGGGACAAACGCATTTGTCTCAGCAATGTCAGAATCCTACAAATTTATCAACAGGTTTCCCTGCATTTGCAATGCCAATGGGATCAAATCTGCCAAGAGTGGCATCCAGCTATTATAGCAACCACAATCAGACCAGGAGCAATTTGTCAACCAGTCCTATGTATACAACCCCATCTGGACATCAACCCACAGTCCCGTTGATTAATACAAGACCTTCCCACCAAGATTCCTCCATTCGGCTAAAAAGGATGGCCCTACCCACATTCTCCGGACTTAGGAAAGACTGGCCATAGTTCAAGGCAGTCTGGAAGTCGATGGCTGAGTCTGCAAGTTATAATAAAACTGCATTAGCACACGAACTTAAGAACTCAGTTAAAGGAGAAGCCAAACACCGCATCAAATCTGTTTTTGTCACCAAGCCCGAAGCTTACGACATCATGTGGGGAAAGCTAGAGTGTCACTATGGAGATACTACTGCTAGTGTACAAGCTTCTTTGGAAGATCTTCAAAGGCTAAAACCTGTAAAAGAAGAAGATTATAAAGCTCTGGTTGAATTAGTGGATGAAGTTGAATCTGCCTACAGTCAATTGGAAGAGCTCAACCAGCTAAACACTTTAACCATGCGAGATGTAGACAACCTAACTGATTTGTTACCTACCCATCTTAAAGTCGACTGGAGACGAAAGTATCGTGATTTATCGTCTGCGGAGAAACTTCAACCATTTGCTCCGCTAATGAAGTTCCTAGACAGAGAACGTTCAGTTGGGCTCGTTTAGCAGAGAATCAGTATTCTAAGAAAAGAGGAAATGACAATGCAAGAGGGTACAGCAAAACCTATCATGTTGAAAGAGGTGCAAAACACGGACAAAGAACCTACTACAAGTGTGCCTTCCCCACCCACAGAAAAGACACCATAAATCACACCACCGAACAGTGCAAAGAATTCCAGAAGTTGTCCATCAGCGGTAAAGATGGCAGATATGAGTTGTTGAAGCAGGTAAACGCTTGTTTCAAATGTTTTGGTAATCATAGGAAGCTTAACTGCCCCCAAAAAACTCCCATGTTCCTCATGTGGAAGTGACCAACATCATTCCCTGCTGTGCATCCCACCAAAGCTCCCAAAAGATTCCGGGGAGAAATCGAAAACTGGAGATGATGGGAACAAGGAATTAGCATCCTATACCGTAGAAAGTGATTCAATGGCATTATACCCTATCCACCAAGCGACCATTAGCGACAGTGGTAGAAAAGTGTCCGTCTTCTGTGATGGAGGCTCTAACGCAAGTTATATCACTCATCGTGCTGCGGAAAGAATCAAAGCAAAGAAAGTTAAGAAACTCTCTCTTGACGTGACAACTATGGGAAATGTCGAGAAAACGTACAACACGTGGCAATACGAGTTTCCAATCAACACAAGTGCTGGAAAGAAAGTCACTATTAAGGCCTTTGGCATGGAGCGAATTACTGGACAAGTAAGCAAACTGGATCCTAAAGTCCTGGTAAAGTTATTTCCAGAATATGATCCTGAAACACTCCAGCGAAAGTCAACACACGTGGATGTCCTGCTGGGCTGTGATTACTTCGGTCTCCATCCAAAGCAAGAAGAAGCTAAATGTGGCGACAATCTAAGTATCATGAATGGAGCATTGGGGATTTGCCTCCAAGGCGCCCATCCAGATCTGATCGAAGAAACAAGATATGAC